GTGCTGGATCACGGAGTGGTCCCCGTGGGGCGCCGGCCGCTTCCCGGGGTAGTTCCTCGACTGCCGGGCGAGAACAAGGACAGGGTGTTTTGGGAACGTCTCTGGGACCAGTGCCCTCTCCTGCCCGCCCTGCAGTCACCACAGAGCGCGGCGCCTGCTCCGTGCGTCTCCGTCTGCGTCCCGTGACGGGAACCGGTCCCTATGGCATCACGGCGAGCGCTCTGGACTCCGGATCCGGCGATCCGAGTTCAAATCTGGGCGGTTACCCGAGCCGCAGCTCCTCCATATAAGCATTTCATCGCGCGCGGGCACGTGAAAAACAGACTGAACGGATCAAACCCTCCCCCCCGAATGCAATAACATCTGGCTCAGGGCTGCTGGAGAGCCCCAGTCCAGCACACCTGTAGAGGTCAAGCAGTGTTTGTGGGCAGTTCAGTTTAATACTTTATTGCCAAGTCATGGAAGCCGATTGGAATTTGCTCCGGTGCTGCCCAGATAACAACAGCATGAGCAGCAGCAGTCACGTGAGAGACACACAGACACACACAGACACACACAGACACACACAGACACACACAGACACACACAGACACACACAGACACACACAGACACACACAGACACACAGACACACACAGACACACAGACACACAGACACACAGACACACAGACACACAGACACACAGACACACAGACACACAGACAGCGCACCACCCGAGATCTGGAGTCTGTACCTGCTGCACCAGGCTCCACACTTCGCTCAGAGGGGGCAGGTTGCGAGGACGGTGCTGCTGGTGGGGGCTCCCGTACTGCGTGGGGCGAGAGAGAGAGAGAGAGAGAGAGGAGAGACGTTGCTGTTTGCCCCGTGCTCTTCCCGGCGGCCGGCACGGCGCGGACACACTGCCCTCCGCCCTTACCCTCAGCAGCTGGCTGGCCCGCGTGGCCAGGTGGCCGAAGCCGCCGTAGCCGCTGTGGCGCGCGGCGCTCTGGTAGCAGTGCGCCGCCTCCTCCAGCTCCTGCTCCGACTCGTACAGCTGGCCCAGCTGCTCCCAGAGCTGCGGCTGGCGCTGGTCCCTGGACAGGGCCTGGACCAGCCGCTGCAGGATGGCCAGCTTCTCACCGCGGGCGGCCGGGCTGCGCAGAGGGAAGCGGAACGCGGGATTAGGTAGGGCTCAGAGCTGGGGGGGCGCTGCATGCCGGGAGGCTGATGGGACGCGTGGCAGCACTCACCCGCTGGAGAAGAACTTGCTGGGGTGGTTGAGCCCCATCATGTGACCTGGGGGCGGGTGCGGGAGGAGCTGGGATGGGCCCACGCTGGAGGAGCACCTGGGGAGAGAACGGAGGAGAGGGCCCGTGACGTCAGCAGGCCTTCGCATACAGGGTCACAGTCACCCCACCTTCTCCCTGCCTCTCCACCGGCCTGCCAGTCTTCTTTCCTTCAAGCTGTCCCGACCCTCTACTGACCCAGCCCACTGCCCACTGCCCCCTGTTCACCTGCCCCCTGTTCACTGCTCACTAATCACTACTCACCTGCCTGCTGCCCCCTGCTCACTGCTCACCTGCC